AGGAGCAGGTGCTGGAAGCAGGTGGCCGTCGAGAAGCGCGCTGCGCGGAGGGCGGTGCTGGACGGGGCCTTAACACACAGGAAGCCGCAGGAGCAGGAGCCGCTCAGTCTCCAGGGAGAGAGGGGCCCTGTTTATCATGGGTTTATATCCCCTGAGCTTTTTTTTTGAAAGGAGCAAAATATCCAGGAGTTTAGGGGAGAGCCCTGTTCATGCGCAAATCCCTGGACCCGGCGGCGGCGGCGCCTCCCGTGGCAGAACTGGTTTCGCAGACGTGGTTAAACTAGAACCGGGCCTGGTGGGCCTGATCGCATGAATCTTTTCCAAACTAATGAAAGATTTGGTGTCAGGATCGGACTTTGAGGTCAACAAAGGGGTTTGAGCTAATGAGCACGCGGCTTCTAGAAGCTGGAAAAGCAAGAACGTGGGTTCTGTGCGGGAGCCGCCGGAAAGGAGCACAGCTCTGCGGACAGGCCTTCAGCCCAGTCAGGCCGGAGTCAGACTTTGACCGCCAGAACAGTAAGCTGATACATTTACGTTGTTTAAAACATTAAGTGTGTGGTGATAAGTTACAGTAACAATGGGAAACTAACAGAAGCCCCGGGACTCACCGTGAGGATCTTTGCCAGTGAACAACTAGCCACTTTGTAAAAAGCCAGGACTAATAATCTCTTGCATGGTTTTTAAAGTGAGTCCTGGTGCCGTACCGCCAGGAAGGAAGATTCCTTTGGCAAAGGCTTTGCGTCAGGGAAGCAAACTGGCAGGCTGACAGCAGAACCCTCAACCCACCAGCAGAGGGCGTGTCGGTTTTTGTTTTTTTTTAATGAAATGTTTCCATCAATAATGGGGAACATACTCCGATTGTAGATTTTCAGTTTCTCCTGAAAAGTTGAAAGAAGTGAGCACCCACTGGCACCTGACAGCAGTCTTAGTAAGGGCTGCTCCAGAGCCGGTCACCGCACATCACCATCTATTTTCTCGTGTGAACCTGGTTTGCTGGTTACTGTCATTTGTCTACACACCCTGGAGTAAACTCCCCCGAGCCCTGTAGCCTAACGTCGTACCCAGAAATTTCAGGTAGTCTTTATTCCAAGAAGCCCAGGGGAGTCCACCTTCCCTGCCTCTCCCAATCCCCACCGCACCCCCAGCCATTCTTGGAATGTTCTGTTGGGGCAATGGTCCCTGGCCTCCCAAATGGCCTGGGATTGCTGCCCTGATTCGGCAGACACTTAAGCCCTCTGCCAAATTCCCATTCAGCCTGGGGAGCAGGCGGCCTCACCACCAGGGGCTCTGGAAGGAGCGCCAGATCCGCCCTCAGCAAGAGGGTAGGGGACCCGTTGATCTGCAGCAGCCGCTCCCAAAGGTCTGCGGTCCACAGGATGGCAACTCCCTTCCCCTAGGTAACTTTCCCTGGGGCAGGGAATTCCTGAGAGTGCTGAGGTTAATTTGGGTAGGGAACCACTGGAGAGGAGAGGCATAGGCCCTGGGGCTCACCGACAAGCTGGATCAGGGTTGGGCCGGGCCACATGCGCGCCTAGGACCCTAGCCCAGCGTGAGCCTTCATCTCCGGGGAGGCCAGTGGCAGCCCAGGGGAAGCCAAGGCTAGCGGCGCAGTAAAGTATTTTTTACTCCGCCTAACCAAGGGCGGAGACAGTCCTCTCCAAGAATCCACGTCCCCACCGAGGGGTGGAGCACACGCTAAATTGTACCATCAGCTCAGAACAAGCTTGGCCTCTGGTCCAGAGACGGGGATCCTCGCTTGCATTAAGAGAAAGGAGAGATGTGTCACAAGATCAGGAAAGGGACACGAGGTGAGCTGGACAGCGCAGCCAGGGCCCATTCCATCCCCTCCGCCAGTGGACGGCGGCACCACCCGCTCCCAGCTGAGGCCGACAAGGCTGTGGTCCAGCTCAGCTCGGCGCCCACAGGTGAACGGTCACAGCCCCTAACGCGCCAGGCCTGGAAGGAACCCAGGAGGACTTCTCCTAGGGTGGTGTTCTGACGGTTCTTCTCGGAGCCCTAGTAGTTCAAATACCTTTCCCTGAGGCCCTGATGCGGAGGGGGTCCGGGGAGAGAAACCCTGTGGAGACTCAGAGCAGCTGTTTTCCTCTCTCTTATGCATGCCGTTGCTGTTTTAAATATTTAATATAATAAAAGAGATTCTGCTACCAATGAAGAAGAGGTTTGAAAATCACCGGTTTTATCAAATCCTTCACTTGTACACGAGAAAGCTGAGCGCTGGAGAGGTGACCTGGTAAAGTCACAGAGAATGCAGCAAGGCCAGGCCTGGGGATAGGGAGACTGTCCCATGCCCGCCAGAGGCCATCCTTCACCTCTTCCTGCTGTTAATAGACGCCCCTGAGCTAAAGTAGGACTCATGACAGGCCCCATAAAGACCCCAGCCTCCAGCTTCCTTTGCAAATAGGACCATGTGACTTTGCAAACCATGTGACTAAGTTCTCACCAATGGAATGGGAGCAAAAAGAATGCTGTTTCCTACAAAGAAAATGCTGTTTCTCACTCTTTCGTACCCTCCCTGGGTTGGAACACAAGCTTGGTAACTGGCAGGCCAGCTTCTACCGTATGAACAAGAAAAGAGAAAAGAACCTGAGTCTCTGTGTGGCTTTGTGGGGTTTCTATATGGCTCCTTGTCTTGCACCTCCTTTCCCTGGAATATTTATAAGACACAAATAAACTAGATTGTCTGGGATTCTGTATTTTTAAGTCTCATTACAGTACTTGTGTTATTTAACTATTGCTAAACAACAAATTAGCCCAAAATTCAGGGGCTTAAAATAGCAAACATTTGCTGTCTCAAGGTTTCTGTGGGTCAGGAACTCAGAAACAGCTAACCTGTGTGGTTTTTGCCTCAGGGTCTCCCATGAGGTCGCAGCAAAACACCTCCTTCCACGCTTATCCGCAGGGATGTTATCAGAGTCCTCCAGGCCCCACGGCACATGTCTCCATAAGCTGGTATCTTTGCAGGCGTTCAGCCCAATCTCAAAGCCGTGGGACTGAGGCTCCACATCTTGAAGGGAGGACAATCAAGGAATTGGTAGTCCTATTTTCAAAACCACCACAATGATTCAGCCTGCATTGTAATTAATACACTAGAGGTATGGGTTTCTTTCTGGTCCAAGGCTGCTTCTGAGCCACGATGTTTCATGATGTCGTTTGATGATAATAAACATGAACATTTACTGGGGGCTTTTTGTATGCCAGGTGCTTATCAAACCTCTTGTTCCTATGTGACCCTCTGCAGTAGATTCTGCTACTGGCCCTCATTTTCCCACCAAGGAACTGAGGCCTAGCATAGTTAATACTGCAGAGCCTTCACTCCTACCACTGCACTAGTGTTGGGGAAAGAGCATGTTTTGTGGGGAGATTTGGCTAGACTTCTGTCACCAACACTAAAGAGCTCTGTGCTTTTGACTAAGACCTAACCTTCTTGGGCTTCCATTTTATCTGATCAGAAAGTAGAAAATACTAATACCTGGAAGCCTGTGATGCAGAATAAATGAAAATATGTGATGCATTAAACACAGGTTTCGGAATGCAGTGGGTGGGCACTTAAAAGACGGCTCTCTCCCCTCTGCTTGATTCTCGAATCTCCACTTCCACACATGAACTGGCTCAGCTCTAACCTAGAGTACAGCTTCGTTCCAGAAATCCTAAGACATAGCAGGACTCTGCAGAATTCCTGGGACACCAGGTTAGCCTGAACCCCATAGCCTGTGTTTCCTTCCAGCCTCCTCTGATACATAAGAAAGGCATCAGGGGATGTGTAAGAGATACTTAAGGACAAACCCCTGGCATCATGCCAGAACTGGCCCAATGTCTGGAGAGAGAAAGGGAGATATGGCCCCTGCACCCCAGCATTGCCTTCCCTGCTCCTGGACTTCCCCCTAGGCTGGAGCTGGGGGAGGAGGCAGGGAAAGTCTGCCTCACTTTCCTGGAAAACCACGGACCAGGACCTGGGGGCACTGCCGGGAAGATTTTGAACACATTTGGCCAAGAGTTGCGTCAACCTCTGAAGACCTCCTGGGACAGAGACCTGCAGGGTATCTGGGCAGAGGAAAGCCCGAACTTTAAAGAATCAAGAATCAAAAGAGGGAAGGATCTCATTTGTCCAAATGTACAATGAAAGCTCTCAACCCCTTCAAAGAATTGCCATGTTCCTCTCATGAAAACTGTTCTATTAAGAAATGAAAAGGTTTGGAGTAAATGTTACAACAGTCCGTGTAATTTTGAAGTGTGATATGCTCAGTTGGAGTTGATTACCACTTTTTAATTGTCACCATGGTTAGCATTCTTTTCCCAATTTTTAGGGCTGGGTTTGGAGGCACATGGAACAGAGTCTCTTACCAAAGGTGAAATGGGGCAGTTTTCACATCCGGGCCCCATGCTCCTCATGAATTAGCTGTTTCTCCCCCAGGCATTTCTCTGGCACCTGCAAGGCTTAAAGTGAGGGGGGCTCGGGTGGGATGGGGAGGCAGTAACAGGATGTGGGGTGGGGGCCAGTGGAAATGGGGAGAATCCTGGCTCCTTAGAACTTTTCCTGGAAGCTTAGTATTTCCTTTCCCTCCTCCTATGGAAGATTTAGAAACAATTTTACTTCAGATTTCTCAAGTGCCTTTAAATATACAATCCGTCATCTTTTTTTGACTCTTTCAGTGTCTTCCTCAATAAAATAACCAGAATTGTCTTCCTGACTCACAAGAAGCGGGGATTTTAAACCATCATCTGGTTGGGGGCCAGTCGGGGGAGACTTCTCTTAATCGTGTTGACATGATGTGGGAACTGAGCCTGTCTTTGACAGGACTTTTCAGTCTAGAAAAAGGCTGGGACTGAATTACCCTTTTCAAGGTTGCCCGAGACAGAAGCCCTTCGGCCTCATCCCCAATCTAAGCCATCATCGGAAGCATGGCCCTGCAGCCACACTGCCCAGGATGGGTGGTGGTGAGGGGGGAATATTGGGAAGGGACACGTGGGATTTTCCAAATTTTAGTCCTTCCGTGTCTCAGGAGATTTTATTGAATGCTTCATATGTCATCTTAAAACATAAATTGTTACAGAACATTCTGTCTGACAATAGTACTTGCAGGACCCCGGACGTTCATGGTCCTGATTGTGCAGCTCCATCTCCATGAGAACCTCCACTGTGCCCCTTCAAGGTATCTTCCCACCTTGGGGCTCTCTTTAGTCTAAATTGGGGAGGTAGTTAATTCCTCACTTCCTGTCAATTTTTCCTTCAAAGGTGGAAAATGTGTGCCCTAGAGGCACTTAGCACCTGTGAGGAAGTCCTTAATGTTAAATCCTCACCTATTAACTTTTCTCCTGAGCCAATGAAAAGAAAGAACAATTGGTTAAGTAACAATTATACACATTTTGAAATCTTCAACACTGTACCTAGACCATGGCTTAATATGGTAACTATGCATATGCACATGCAAATAGCCATTCCGAAAATGTTTCCTGAACCAGACACCGAAAGGACAAAAGTAGTTCTTGTCCTGGAAAAATCTCTAATGAGGAGGGTTAGTGAGGAGAGCAAATTCAGGAAGTCATACAGTTATAAACCCATAACGAACCCTTACATTGTACATGAGAAATGTTGAAAGACACACAGAAAGGGAAGTGATGACAATGGTGAGCCACTGAAGACGTGAATTTCTAGCCCAATGTTACAGAATGTCAGGCACAGAAAGAAAAAGGGCGTTCCAAATGTAAATGATACCATGTACGAAATCACAGTCAAGAAAGAATATTCTGTGTTCAAGGAACAACAAAACTTCCTGGCTGGCCACCAGTGTGTATGGAAGGAGAGTGCATTGGCGTTAGGGAGACAGGCAAAGGCGGGACTGAAAGGGTGGGAATGCCACCCTCCAGAGTTAGTCTTTATCCTGTAAACACCAGAGACCAATAAAAGTTATCCAGCAAGATAAATAATGATCAGATTTATGTTTTAGAAAGACAACTCTGAGCCCTCAGAGAGGATTGATTTAAGAGTAAGATGAGAGCATTGTTTCTCTCAACATAACTGCATGAGACTTTATGGAGAGACAGGGCTTGTTAGATTTAATGAGGCCCATGCTTTGCTTTAATGATTGAATCAGAATCTCGGGCTGGAGGCCTGGGAGTCTGGGGAGGTAACATCTCTAACATAAAGTGATCAGACGGACTCGAGTCAGAGGCCAGTTAGGAAACGTTTGCCACTGTCCAATTAAGAGATGAAGTGAGTTGGGTCTGTATGTGATTCCAATCCTCCAGACTAGCTCACAAAGAAAACCATTGTTTTAAGACAACTATCTAATTAAGTCCTAAAGTATGTGATAAACAGACTGCTCTGTGATCTGCGCCAAGTTGTCTAATACCGTAAACATAATGCTTTTAATTGGCGAAGTACCATATCCCTAATGTTATTTGATGTCAAGGATTAGGGAAAGCTGTCACTCTGTTAACAGATTGTTTCACAGGAAGATGAGACCAAATCAGTCTCATTTGTTTGCTGGCTTGTTTGCTGTTTCCCCGGGCTCTGTAAATCCCCGGAGAGTAGAAACCTCGCTGACTCCCGACCGCGCTGATGTCTCTGGTGCACGGTGAATGCATTCTGAATAAATGACAAAGGAAGAAAGACAGAAATAAGCAAAGGAACTTCAGGTACCAGAAAGCGCAGAGGACGGGCAATTAAGAGCTTCAGTCTTTCTTCCAACTACTTTTATTCGACACCTCTGCGGAGTTGGATGCTGAGGATCATGCCCTTAAGGCACTGCCTATGTTGATTTCTAGTTTTGATTCTGCTACTCAGGAGCGTGGCGCCCTGCCAAATGTCTTAAGCTTAAACTTCAGGCCTTAGATTCTTGTTTGTAAAACAAGGGGCTGGCCAAAAATGAAGTGACAACTAGAGCCCTTTCCAGACCTCACTTTTGGTGATTCATCTGCTTCACCCTCCCGCTAAATGCCCCTTTTGCACCGAGCAAAGGAACATTCTGGTGGCCACCCAGTACCAAGTTCTCGTCTTCCGAGCAGAAGTGTAACCCCTCCCCAGAACTGGCTTCTCTAAGAGCTGTAGAAATGCCAAACGTCTGGAGGTGGAAAACAATGTGGCACTAATTGTTCGGTTTCCTCCGGGTCCCCGGCGGGGGAGGCTGGCCCCCGGCTGTTACGGACAGCGCTCGCGCAGCGCGCTTCACGGGATCGGAGTTTCCCGAGTCCTGGGAAGGTGACGCGGAGGCGCCCCCAGCGCACCGAGGCTCGCTCCTCGGGGGGGCGGGCCCGCAAATGACACCCGAGGCCAGGAGGAGGCTCCCATTGGCCGGAGGGCGGGCGACAGGAGGGGGCGGGGCTTCCGGGGGAGGAAAAGGGAGGGGCGTGCGCAGCCCATGTCAGTTTCGGAGCCAGTGGCCGCACACCTTCGCTGCCCGGGGCTGAGCCGCGTCTCCAGCAAAGGGTTCTCCTGCTTCGCGGGCCACGAGCCGCTGCGGCCTGGGCGCCCCCGTCCCTCCTGCGGCACCCGCGTCCCCTCCGGCCCTGGGGCCCTTCCTGCGTTTACTCCGCGGCGCTTTGGTCCGGGGGACTTTGTTTTCTCCTCTTTCCTCTTTGTTGCTCTAAAACCGAAGCCCCCCACTCCGGAGGGAGCTGCCTCGCGGAGAAAGGCGCCGCTGCGGACTGGTACCACCGGCCTTTCCTGAGGACCCCGCAAGCCGGTGCGCCCACCCCGCCTGCCTTACTCGCCTCCTGCGTTCGTTCGCCTGAGGAAGGGTGCCGAGAACTCATTGATGCACCCATTCCAGTGGTGTAACGGTGAGTCCCGGTCCGAGACGCCGAGGGGGCGCCAGGTTTCAGACCGGACGGAGGGCTCGTGCCCCTCCTTGAGCCAAGTTTCTCGTGAAATGGGACCGGCGAGAAGGCGTCCCGGCGCCCGACTCTGTTCTATACTGCGCGGAATTGGGGGGGGGCGGGGAAATCCAGGTTTCAGTCGAGGGCCAGGAAGGGTCTCCGAACGCGCGGCGGGCTGGGGGCGGGAGAGCCGACGGGTTCGCGGCCTTTGTGTAGCGGCCTCACTCTTCTACCCCCTTCCCCTGCCTTTGTGCGCTCAAACTCCCGTCTTTGTTGTGGTTGTTGGATGAGAAGTAAATCCGCGCTCGGGTTAGGATCTCCTAGAGGGAGCTCAAGTTCCCGGCCGAAACTTTGCAGGCTATTTTAAATATGTATACAATGTAGCGTGCGGGACGCGGCGCGGGGGCGGATTCCCCTGTGTCTTTGTTGGTCTGCTTTGGCTGCCGGGCAGCGTTGTGCCTGCCCAAGACGCCGCATTAAAGAGCCTGGCTTTATTGACTTGATAGAGCCTTGCAGATAGCTCGGCTCCCGGCTACCCTTGGGTGTACGGCTAAGCTGGTGGGAGCCGTGCTCTGTGGTCGCCCGGCCAGACACCGCGCTCGCTCCCCGGGCTTCGGCGTTGGCAGCACCTCCGGACCCAATCGCCCCACCCACCCTTTTTCCTACCCCCGCTTCCTGGCCTGGGTGATGCCAGATTGATTCATCTTACCTGGGGCCTTTTAGCGGTTCAGGTGATACAGTTTGGGCGTGAGTCTGATTCCTCACCCAAGCTACCAAAAGGGCATTTCTTAATGGGTCAATCCAAAACCTGGACTACTAATATCCTTCAATGACCCTAGGGTCAACTGCGTCCTAACGCTTGGAGAGTTTCTAAAGAAGGGGGTTAAAAGTATGGTGGGCTGGCAAGTTAGGGGGGAAAATCCATGCTTGAGAGCAGATTCCTACCATGTCTTGGATTAATTATTTCAAGACGCTTGTGTTTTAAGGCAGAGTTTGGGCAGCATGTGTATGAGCGCCCCCCACCCACCTCTTCCTCTTGCTGGTAGGATCTAATTTCCTGAAAATGAACCAAACTGTGTGTGATAGGCGGGCATTTGCGGGAGAGGCGGGGAGCAGGAGGGTGAGGGCATGCCTGCATCTGGGAAAGATACCCGTTGGCTGGGAAGGAGGACCATTTCCCAGATCCGCTGGTCTTTCTTGGCGGGCCCTTCTCTTGACGTCATTCCAGCTCCCAGGCTGCTACGCTGAGATGAGACATTCTGGTGTCAAGTCTTTCATAGGTCTGCTGAAACAACGCAACGGACCCTTCAGGAGAAGAACCCGGGCAGCTGTCAGTAACCCTGGCCGTTCTACTGGGTGGCCCTCTTTCATATGAGATTTATGAACCCAGAGGACTTGCTGCTGGTGTTCTTCGCTTCTTGAAGTGGCTGAGAGATTCTTCTCGTGTAATTCCAATGAGGAGCCAATACCTACCCCCTATCGCTCTGAAAAATGTTTGGAGCCCCTCTTTCCTCGGGTTGGTATTGTGTTTAAGAGGAAAAACTACATTGTCAGCTTGTGCCAATTCAGGTATTTTTTTCCATTTCTTTTTAACTGTAACACAAGCAAATGGATTGTCTCCTCTTGGCTACGGAGCTCTTCTTAACCTACACCCCCTCATCACATGAAGTCCCAAGCTCACTGACTCAATCCTGGAGCCCCAGGGACAGCCTCTATCAGACCAGATAAACTGGTCAAGATAAACTGATCAGAGGGCTGCTGAGGTGAATACGTACACGTACCCTCTGCAAGGTCCCAGAACAGGAATCCAGATTAAGTTCCTTGCGACCCTAAAGACACCTGGACCCAGCTCCTAAAAGCTGCACGCAGAACCAAGGCAGAGTGGGGGTTCTGCCCTCCTAGAGCACCAAATGCTGCTGAGACAGGCATGGGGAGCCTAAAAATTTGCTTCCCGCCGGCATAGCAAAGTTTAGTAGCTAATTGTTTAAGTTTTTTCAACTCAATTGAAGCCTTTCACAGTAAGAACTACTGCTTTTACTTTTTGTTGCCCCACAATGTCTAGGTCAGTGAGCCAGGCCCTCAACAATACTTGCTGGTTGACTGGCTATTCATTAGCTGAGGGCAGTTTCTGGGCAGTTTTCCCAAACATCAGTCTCCTTTTGGAGTGGGAACTTTTGCCAGGGGTAGCAGGTTGTCTTGAGAAACTTGAATTACTTATGTGTTGACTGGTTAATCGAGGACAAGCTGAATGCCAGGTGAGGTGCGGGGGAATATGTAAAAGTCCAAGCCACCATCCTCAGGCCTGGGAGCATGCAGGCTTGTGAGGGCTCTCATCTCTGACACGTGGACTGTGGATGCACCTGCACTATGGTGCCTCACTTTGATGATGAAAACCTTTGTCTCTCTTCTTCCCTAGACCATAAAATAGTCCAGTCATTCTTCTTTTACATGTCCCATGTCTATCATGGTACTTGTTATATAATCAAGAATCCAAAATGGATTCTTGGAACAACTGGGCAGCGTTAAGACAGTTACTGAGCGTGCAGGAGCCGGACGTGAGATCCAGGCTCTGAGCACTGTAGACATCACGGAGGAGTAGGGTCACTGGAGTATCACAAAGGCTTGGTGAAGTTAGGGAGCAGAGAGGGAGTTTCAGGCAGGGAAAGAGGCGTGATCATAGGTACAGAAGCCAGTAAGGACACGGTTGGGCAGGAAATAGACTGCCACATGCTGGTGGACCCTGGACAGGGCAGTGGAGAGGAGTCCTGTGCGTGCATGTTCAAGAGCACTGGAAGCCGGCACGAGTCTGGGAAATACGTGATAGAAACCAAGTGGGAGGATATGTCAGACATGTCTGCTAAGTTAGAGGAGGGCCTAGACCTCAGTTAGGTGTCTGGGATACGGACTTGGAATAGAATTGGGCCCCAAATCTGTTTGGAATAGAGACTTGACAATAGAATTGAGCACAAAATCTGAACGAGTTTTGGAGGGACACTTATTGTACGGTCACTAGATTGATGTAGTGGATGACGAGTGACGAGGTGTATGGATGTCAAAGATGACTTCCAGTCATTCAGGCCACTCTTCTGCTGAGTTGTGGCAGCACTGATAATCATCATGTGGAATTCTGAAATATATTCAAGGGTTCTGGCTTCTAACCAAGATGTCAGGAAAGCACTTAAAACTCATGTTGAAGGCTTGAGTACCCAAGTCTTTGGACCAGGACTTCTTAGCCGTTTGTGGACAGGTTATTTCCTAATTGAGTCTTGTCCCCATTGTTGGGGAAAGTAATGTTTCATCGTGACATTTCAAAGGTTAAATCAGTGGCATGAGAATGTGCTTGGAATGTAGCAGGTACATAGATGATAAATTCTAGTTTTTCATCTCACCACTTTCTGAAATTCAAGAAATATCAGCTTATCTTCAGGATCACTATGATTTTTTTGCCAGCAAGCAGGAAAAATCACTCAACTGGCTTTTGTTTATATCCTGGTTTGTTTTATTCCCCTTATGGTTTAACATTGTAGAAAATGTAGTGACCATCAGAACCAAGATAGAGAGTGGCTCCAGGATTGGTTAACCCAGCAATTTAACTGACAGTCTTCCCTCTTTTCTCCTTTCCCTATGCCCTCTGCCACCGTCTGCCATTGACTTTCTATTGAACTGCTCTCCTTCCAGCTACGACTTGGCTGCTGCTCGCTGTTCAGGTGTTTCAGGGAGATGTGACCCCCCACCCCCCTGCAAAAAAAAAAGGATAAAAACCTTTCTTTGTCTAGCAGACCTGTTGTTTATTTGCCAGAAACCGGTCATATACATACCTCAACACCAAACCCTGGCCGGGGGAACTACCATGATTGGTAGACCATCAGGATTTACCCTGAGTCATATGAGAAGGGGAAGCATCTGCTGGCTGGCCCGTGCTTCCCACACATACAGCAATTGCTGATCCTACAGCAGTTTGCTAATGACCTCGTTAAAGTGTGGGTTCGAATTCATTTCATTTGGGGTGTTTCTGAATTTCTAATGCTGTCACTATGGGACTGCACATCAAGGCTTTGAGCAGAAAGGGGTAAGGTGGGCACTAAAAGTAAGCTGCAAACTCCCACCTCCTTGCCCTCCTGCCACTTTCTGGAATGCTGGCTCAGCTTTAGAGGTGAACAGTTTCTATCCTGGTGAAGCTTGTCTTCTGGAGCAGGTGGCTTAATAATGACAGAGAACCTTTCTGACTGCACTTTGCAATTTACAAAGCATATTTCTCACACCATCATTTTCAGTCCTCTCTGTATTTGGCTTGTTTTCATATGGCAAAGTGATGCCTAGAGAGGTAATTTCTTAAAGGTCACATAGCCAGGGAGAGGGGGAATTGGGATCCAAATACACGTGGCTGTTCATTTCACTGTTGGTACTATATGGGCTTCATTGGAATTGAATTTTCCATTTTCTGCCCATTGCCTGAATGTTGGATCCCCTAGATAGGGGTGCTGTTTTAAGGCCTATGTGTAGTATCCCATTTCATATATTGGTTAAGAAATTTGCCCAAGAACACATAGCTGGTAAGTGTTAGAGCTAGGAAATAAACTTAAGCCCCTGAATCAGGTTTTGGAGCTCCGAGCCTGCCCTTTCTCTCTCCGTCCTTGATGACGCAGACTACCACCAGTCCCCATGGTGAATTGCCAACTCTAAAATTCTTTTTCTTCCCCCTTTCTTGCAGGGTGTTTCTGTGGCCTGGGACTGGTTAGCACCAACAAGTCCTGCTCGATGCCACCCATCAGTTTCCAGGACCTTCCTCTCAACATCTACATGGTCATCTTTGGTACAGGCATCTTTGTCTTCGTGCTCAGCCTCATCTTCTGCTGCTATTTCATCAGGTGGGCGGCTCACTGGCCAACCTGTAACGGGAGGAGTGGGGAAGGAGGCGGCCAACCCACCACGGCTCCCATAGTAGAGTCACCAGCCTCATACCAGGGCCACTGCTTCGAGAACAGGACTCAGCCTGCCCTCCGCTGGGCCCCTGAGGCCTGGGGTTTCTGGGGTTTCTATTTACATCAGCCTATCAAGTTGTCCCAGAGCATATAAGGTCACCACGGGTTGGGCTGCATCCTGCCTCTTGGCCAGTTATTTTTATTCTAAGATTGTGTAGAATTACTGCCTGACCGAGCTACATCATTGGTGGCCCCCCAACTGTCACTCTGCCCCTGACTCACAACCTCTGGGTGACCAGAGATGGGTGGGCACCAGTTAAACCACTGACGTGTTCCTCTGCTCTCCTGGGGAATCCTGTTCGCCCTCCAGATGCTAATATTAGCCGGCTGGTATCTGGAGCACTGCTTGTTTATTCTGCCTTGTAAGCTCTTATTTTTGAGAGTCAAAAAAACCTAAAAATGTCATTTAATTCTTACTGCATAGAGATCCAAAGAAGGACTTGAGCTTGGCAGGGCTAGCCAAGCTCCAGGACCTGTTACTTTACATCCTGTTGAAAGACACAGGGACCAATGCCTGTCTTGTATGAAAAACTGGGGACATGACTGGTATTTAGAGTGTAAATTAAAGCAGTGTTTCTGACTAGGACTTGCTGTTGGTGTTACCAGTTCCCATTGTTCAGGACTGCCCTGCATACTGGGGAAGCTTGAGCGTCCCTGGCTCGGTCCTTGGGGCCACGGTGATAACCAGTCCCCCTCCCCACCACCACACACATCACCAAGGCTGAGCTGGGGTCCAGGCTATGGTCTGATCAAAGCATTTAAGATTAAATTCAGATGAAGGAGGAAGGGGTTCTGGCTCCCACCTGAGGTGTCCCACTGGTTTGGGGGTTCACCTGGAAGGAGGCTAGTGGGAAGGCAGACACCTGTCCCTACTCCTGTGGCTGGAAGAGGAAGCTCCTCAGCCCCTGCTTCCCAGCATTGCCATGGGCTGCCTTGAGCCTCTTCTTTCTCAACTTCAAAAAGTCCCTAGGACTGGAATTTGCAGACGGGATAGTGGTTTATTTTCTCTTCTGTACAGATGAGTCTAAAATTTGCTTCTAATTATTCAGTGGGGGTTAGGGTAGATTTCTGGTTTCTCTCCACCCCTCCCTTTTCCCCAAGTCTAAGTTTCTTCCTGACCACAAGCCACCCCCATCTCCCCATATGAAGCAATTTATGCAATTCCCCAGAGACCAAAGATGGCCCCATATCAAATACCAAAGATTTATGTATGATTCTGGGAGGACTCTATAAAACCAACTCCAATACTTGGTACACACACACACACACACACACACACACACACACACACGCGTGCGCGCGTGCATGCATGCCAAACTACAAAGGTAGTCAAGGAGAAAAAAATCTAGAAAATCACTCTGGGCCAGTAAGTGGGCAACCAGCGTTCATGCCCTGTTTCTGCCACTAATAGGTGAGACTGTAGGTTTTAACTACTCTTTACCTGGCACACACTTTCTGTGTGCCAGGCATGAGGGGTCAGCATTCTTAAGCTCCCTTAGTCCTCAGAACATGCAGTTTAGGTATTAGTCCCCCTTATAAATGAGAAAATCCATGCTGAGCAGCGAAGGATTTCCCCACAGTCCTGTTTAAGGGAAGATACGGAGGTGGGCTAGCCTGGTGACAGTCGTGGTCTCCCAGCTGCCGTCGGTTCGCCTTCTCTGATTCTTGATCCGAGACTGGGAAGTGGAGGAGCAGCTCACTGGCCACCCCCTCACAGCTAGAGTGAGATAGGGGCCCTGCAGAAGGACAGACTGAGGAGCTGGGTAAGGCCAATTTATTTTTGTTTGTCTGGAGTAAGGGAACAGGAGAGTAACCACGTGACACCAGCAGCTTTCCCCACTGTGGGGCTGCTGGGCACCACCTGTCCCTTCTGCAGTAATCTGCTGCTCACTCCCACCCTCTGTTCTGCAGCCTGCCCGAGCCAATGACCCCAGAGCCTCATGGTTCCAGAGGCCCACTGGTGTGTGGCAGCCTGTGGGTGTCTATATATAGAAAGACACACAAGCCCAGAAACCACTTCCTTTCACTGCCTCTTGGTTTCCTCCTCAGCCAGAATAGGACCATGACCCCCTCCCAGCCAGTGAGCTCATGGGCCAAGGCCAGCTTCCCCTTCCCAGCTCCCCCTGCTCACTCCCCTCTCCCCTGAGGAGCGGACCTCTGCCCTACACAGGATGGAGGGGCCAGGGAAGTATGAACAGGCAGGAAAGAAACAATGACTTTCAGGACCCAGCTGCATTGTTTGCTCCAGAAGGGAAGAAGAAGTCAGGGGTCGCCATTAGCAGTGGCTAGAAATGGTCTCATTGAAATCAGGTTATTTTTAGTAGCTTTGCTCACCCAGCAGCTGAGAAGGCCACCTGTCCCCTGTCCAAAGTTGTAGGCACTAAATTCCTCACTGCGGTGGCCCTGGGTCTGAGCTTTCTGCTTTTGTTTCCCTTGCAACCTTTTGGCCCCATGTTTTCAGGAGCTCTGCCTCCCTGATCTGGAAATGTACATTCAGGTGAGGGTGCCACTCTGAAACCTGTCACTGTTATCATAGTCCAGGGCTCTGCAGGTCAGCCTTCTGAAAGATCCTTGACTCAGACCATTAAATGGAGCCCGGCAGACAAAAGGGACAAGAGTGGGGAAGGGCATACCATGGACATCCATGATACAGCAAGTAGGAAGTACAGCACATGCTGCATAGTTATAGCCATGTTGCAGGTGAGGTGGTACAGGCTCAGAAGATGTGTGGCATCCCCTCATTCTGGGTTAAACAGCAGGCTGCCCACTTCCTCATTCACTGCACATACCTGGTACCGCAACAGGGTCTCCCTGGGAAGGCAGCTGTGAGCACCCTGACAGTGAGAACACTTTCTTCCTTCCCCAGGTTAATTCCACATTGTCCTGGTCGCATGGTTCATTTAAGCTCTGGATGCTTCCTTCCCTGCCCCTCTCATGTCGAAGTGAGGACAGAGATGTATGTGTATACATGAAAGCCTTTTTTAAAAAAACTGAAATGTAGTTGATTTTCCAATGTTACTAGTGATTCCACAATTATATGCATTACAAAATTCTCATGAGGATAAGTATAATCTGTCACCATTCATAGTTATTACAGTATAACTGACTATATTTCCTATGCTATGCTTTATATCCACATGACTTATTTATTGTGTAAATGAAGCATGTACCTCTTTGTCCCCTTCACCCATTTTACCCATACCCCCATTCCTTCTACTTTGGCAACCACCAGTTTATTCTCTGTATTTATGAGTCTGTTTTCTTGTGCATTTGTTTTGTCTTTTTTGATTTCTATTTCCCTTAGCGTAATACTCGCTAGGTCCAACCATGTTGTGAAAGGCAATATCTTATTCTTTTTATGGGTGAGTAATATTCCATAGTAGATATGTACCACATCTTCTTTATTCATTCATTCATCAATGGACAATTTAGGTTGCTGCCTTATCTGGGCTGTTGTAAATAATGCTACAATAAACATAGGGGTGCATGTATCTTTTCAGATTAGTGTTTTTGTTTCTTGGGTATATACCCAGAAGTAGAATTACAGAGTTGTATATTATTTTCATTTTTAGTTTTTTGAGGAACTTAACATACTGCTTTCCAGAATGGTCTTTTTTGCACGTAGCTATCCAGTTTTCCTAACACAATGTATTAAAGAGACTTTTTCTCCCATTGTATATTCTTGCTTACTTTATCATAATTGTCCATATAAGCATGGGTTTATTTCTGGGCTGTCTATTCTGTTGCATTGATCTGTGTGATTTTTTTTTGTGCCAGGACCATATTGTTTTGATTATTTTATCTTGTAGTATAATTTGAAATCAGGGAACATGATACCTCCACCTTTGTTCTTCTTTCTCAAGATTGTTTTGGCTATTTTGGGTCTTTTGTGGTTCCATATAAATGTTAAAATTATTCTAGTTCTGTGAAAAATGCCTGTGGTATTTTGATAGGGATTATATCCAATCTGTAGACTGCTTTGGGTACGTGGCCATTTTAACAACATTAATCCTTCCAATGGCTTAGTATTTTTTTCCATTTATTTGTGTCATCTTTGATTTCTTTTATCAGTGTTTTACAGTTTTCAGAGTACAGGTCTTTCATCTCCTTGGTTAAATTTATTCCTAGGTATTTTATTCTTTTTGATGCAATTGTAAATGGGATTGTTAATTTCTCTTTCTGGTAGTTTGTTATTAGTATATAGAAACACAACAGATTTCTGTATATTGATGTTGCATCCTGCAACTTTACTGAATTCATTTATTCAAATAGTTTTTAAATAAGACTTAAGGGTTTTTGATCTCTAATATGTCATCTGCAAATAATGATGATTTTAATTCTTTCTTTTACCAAGTTGTATACCTTTTATTTCTTTTTCTTGTCTGATTGCTATGGCTAGACCTTCTAGTACTGTGTTGAATAAAAGTGGTGAGAGTGGGCATCCTTGCCTTGTTCCTGATTTTAGAGGAAAACTTTGTGCTTCTAACCACTGACGATGGTGTTAACTGCACAGTTGTCATATATTATGTTATATTCCCTCTGTACCCATTTTATTTTAAGTTTCATCATGAATGGATATTGAATTTTGTCAAATATTTTTTCTATACCTTTTGATGATCATATGGTTTTTATCTTTTTGTTAATATGGTATATCACATTGATTGATTGCTGGATATTAAACTCTCCTTGTTGCAGTTCTGGAATAAAGCCCATTTGGTCCTGGTGAATCATTCCTTAATGTATTTTTTAATTTGACTTGTTAATATTTTGTTGAGGATTTTTTCATCTATATTCATCAGGGGTGCTCATCTATAATTTTCTTCATAGTGTCTGGTTTTAGTATTGGGTGATGGATTTGGCCAGCCCCATAGAATGAATTTGAAAGCATTCCTTCCTTTTCTATATTTTAGAATAGTTTGGGAAGGATAGGTATTAACTTTTCTTTAAATGTTTGGTAGAATCCACCTGTGAAGCTATGAAGTCCTGGACTTTTGTTTGTTGTGAGTTTTTTGACTACCAGTTTGATTTTGTTACTAATGATTGGTTTGTTCAGATTTTCCATTTCTTTCTGGTTCAGTCTTGAAGATTCTAGAAATTTACCCATTTCTTCTAGATTGTTCAATTTGTTGGCATATAATTTTTCATACTAATCTCTTATAATCCTTTGTATTTATGTGGTATTGGTTGTTATTTCTCCTTTTTCATTTCTGATTTTGAGTCCTTTTTCTCAATGAGTCTAGCTAAAATAAATAGTTATCAATTTTGTTTAATACAAACAATAAAATTTACAATACAAAATTAATAAAAAAATCTTTTAATTTCTTTAATCTTTTCTGATGTTTTATTTAGTCTCTATTTCATTTATTTCCACTCTGATCTTTATTATTTCCTTTGGCTTTGTTTTTTCTTTTTCTAGTTACTTTAGATGTAAAGTTAGACTAAGAGTTTTATTGCTTCTTGAGGTAGGCCTGTGAGCCAAAGATTTTGGACTATTGTGTTTCTGTTATTCAATGTCCTGGGTATTTTTTTAAATTTTCTCATTGATTTCTTCACTGACCCATTTGTTGTTTAGTAGCATGTTATTTAGTCTCCACGTGTTTGTGTTTTTCTTGTAATTGATTTCCAGTTTCATACCATTGTGGCTGGAAAAGATGCTTGATGTGGTTCTTAAATTAATTGAGACTTGTTTTACTTGTTTGTGACCTAACATGTGATCAGTCCTTGAGAATGTTCCGTGTGCACTTGAAAAAAATGTGTATTCTGCTGTTTGGGGATGGGATGTTGTATATATATATANGTCTCATTCAAAGCCACTCTTTCTTATTGATTTTCTGTCTAGATGATCTATCCATTGATATAAGTGGGGTCTTAAAGTCTCCTGCTATGATTGTGTTAATGTCAAAGTCTCCCTTTATGTCTGCTAATATTTGCTTTAAATATTTGGGTGCTCCCTAGTTGTGTGCATAGATATTTACAATCTGGTTGGATTGATCCCTTTATCACTATGTTATGCCCTACTTTGTCTCTTGTTATAGTCTTTGTTTTAAAGTCTGTTTTGTCTGATGTAAATATTGCTACCCCAACTTTTCTTTTTTGCTTAATTTGCCTGAAATCTCTTTTTCCATCCCCTCTCATTCACTCTGTATATCTTCAGATCTGAAGTGAGTCTCTTGTAAGCACCATATAGATGGTCTTTATTTATTTATTTTTTCAGTCACCCACAGTCTTTTGATCAGAACATTTAAACCATTTTTCATGTGGAGTAATTATTGGTAACTATGTACTTATTGCATTTTGTTCACTGTTTTCTGATTGTTTTTGTAGTTCTTCTCTTTTCCTTTCTTCTCTTTCTTCCTTGTGATCAATGACTAACAATTTCTTTAGTGTTAGGCTTGAATTCCTCTATTTTTTGTGTATCTATTCTAGGCTTTTGGTTTGTGGTTACCATGAAGTTTATAAATAACATCCTAAGTATATAGCAGTCTACATTAAGTTGATGATCTCTTATATTCAAGCATATCCTAAAAGTACTGCCTTTTTATACTCTTTCCTCCATGTTTATGTATATGATGATGTCACAGTTTACATCTTCTATTTTGTGAATCCCTTAACCTAAGGTATAACTGATGTCACTACTTTTGTCTTTTAACGCCAAACTAGTGTTTAAGTGGTTGATCTACTTTTACTATATGTTTGCTTTGTCAGCCTGTCCTACCATGCTGTGGGGTTGTATGGTTTTGCCCCACCTCCTGCATCTTCCGCCTCTCTGGTAGTGGGTCCAGCTTTGCAAGGCCCATGATGCATTACCTCACTCCCCTTGACTGAGGCTCATGATTTTGAAATTGTCTTCTTCTAACTCAGGTCAGCAATCTTTTTCTGCAAAAGGAAAAATATTTTAGGCTTTGTGGGTCATGAAATCTGTCTTAACTACACAACTCTACTATACAAAAGAAGCCATAGACAATAGGTAAACTGTGATTGTGGCTGGCTTCAGTAAAATGTAACGGGCACTGAAACTTAAGTTTCATATAATTCTTGCATGACATGAAGCATTCTTTTGATTTCTGCTTTGAGCCATCTAAAAATAAAAACGAGTGGCCTCTAAAACAAGTGGCCAGGTGGCTTTGGCCTGCAGGCCATAGTTTGCTGCCCCTATTGTGACTTGATGAACTGCCGGTGTTTCCTTCTGATAACCCAGATTTGTGGTAGAAATGATCAATGAGAGAGAAAGCCCCTGTACACTGCAAAAGTTTTCTTTCACTGAAAAATAGAAAAAAAAATTAATGCATAATCATGGTCCAGCCATTTGCATAGTAAGCCATTCACAGAATTGTAGGCTTGTTGATAAAAAGGTGCTTCTTCCCATATTCTCAGGTTTAGCCCATCATAGTCCTATTTGGTGAAACAGCCCAAATTATGTGTGACAGAGATCAGGCTCTCTAGTCACATAGACTTTGATTCAGATCTGGACTCTGCTGCCAACTAGCTCTGAAGTTTAGACAAGTTACTTATTTGGACTTCATTTTCTTCATCTGTAAGGAGAAAAGTCTATCCCTCTGAAAGCTGTTGGGAGTCATCCGGAACATACAGAGTGTGTTCGCGCAGGGATCAGTGTCTCGCGAGTCCTGGGTAACTGCTGTGCTGTTGCCGTTAGTCACAAGCTGCTGTGTTTTGACCATTGAGAGTCAGGCTGCATGCAGGCCACCGGCTTGAAGCAAAAAGGAGAAAACAAAGAAGGGCTCGCCCATGTTTGCCACTGTGAGTGGGAGTGTGCTTTGGGTCCAGAGTACTCGTGCTCTCTGGGTGGAAAATTCCCCAGGGTCGACAGAGACTTATTTATCCTGCTACCCTGACTCAATGGAAATAGCCCTTTTAAGAATATCTAACTAATCCTTAGACGCAGTAAGCAGATTTTTGGTCTATATATTTGGGGAGCCTGAAGGAACTGACCTGCTGGAAATGGTGAGGAGAATGAGTGAACTATTCAGGGTACTACTATGCCAAAGAATTCCCTCGTCTGTGGGACCTGACAGTAAGTTTTGGGGTAGCTGAGGCTGAGTAAGAATCTGAGTCCTTAATCCATTCTGGGTGATCTGCATGGGTCCAAAACTATACCCCATGGCAGCTATGGGATGAGAGACCCCTGTGGGGAGCACCCCATCCCCAGAAGAATGCCCCTTGCAGCTAGCTGGCCTCTCCTGCCTGGAATGCCTCTGTTTACACAAAGCATAGTAACCTCTTCTCTCCTTTCCCTTTCTCCCCCAGCAAACTGCGGAACCAGGCGCAGAGTGAGCGATATGGCTATAAGGAGGTAAAGGGCCACATCTTCCCTGGAGACCTCCATGCTCCTTAACTGTAGGTGGGGGTGAGCAAGCCAGCTTAAGAAGTCCCGGGCCTGGAGCTGCCCTTGGCCTCCCCTCTGGCTCTCCGAGGCAAACTCCTTGCACTGTCCTCAAGCCAGGCTGGGCACAGGCAGAGCCCAGAGCCCTCCCTGTTGACGGGAGGGAGAGGGAGGCGCTCCCTCATGGGATTGGGGACTCCCCTCACTGGTCGATGCCCCCTGGCCTCTGTGGCTGTTTCCTTCTGACACCTTGCCTCTTCTTTTCTGGGCAGGTGGTGCTTAAGGGTGATGCCAGGAAGTTACAGTTATATGGGGTGAGTGTCCTGGGGCAGCATGTGGGAGGCCCCAGCAGGTAAGGCAAACAGCACCTTCTCCAGCTCCCAGCCTGGACCCTTTAAGCAACCTTTTTAGTCCCTGCCTTCATATCTTCACATCAGAGTGACTCAGTTCAGTAGGTTATCAATAAATGGAATTCTTAATGTCTGGAAGCAGTACAGACAGAAAACATAAAGGGATCCCACAGGGTAAGTGGTGACATGTGGCCCCAGGAAGCCTGTTGTACTTTATCTGCAGGGAGAGGGTGGTCGCACCAGTCCATGCCATGGGCAGATTGCAGCTAACTTTTCCGCGTTCAGACTCCATGTCTGACATAGGCTGTTTCCTCCTCCTTTCCTACCATTGCCCCTGAGGTTGCCTGACTCATCTCCCAGGAATTCCTTCCATGACCAGGGACCTCCTTCCTGCAGGGTGCTTCTCGTCTGCAAGCTGGGAGTATCTCAGATGTCACCAGGCACGAAACAGGAAACATGCCTTATTTTGTCCCTCTTTTTAATGTCCGCTATGACATCTCAGCAAGTCAGGTGCTCTCCAGGCCCTCCTGGAGAGGAGTAAATTCAGCTGAGATCCAAGAGGCTAGTAAGAGGGACGTGAAGCTGGATTTAAACTGAATTAAACCATATACATACCCCCACCCTTGCCTCTAATTATGGATACATGCGTCCTTGCCAAATCCACCATATAGACCAGATTAAAAACCATTCTTCTAGCATAGCTCTGCCCAATGGAAGTTCTGTGATGACAGAAATGTTCTCTATGTTCGCTGTCTAGTTGGAGGGCCTCGAGCCACATGGTGGCTGTTGAGCTCATGTGTGGTTAATGATTCCCATGCTGTCGGTGCTATTTTATAAAACAGGACTAACATCTCTGTGGCTGGTATGGAGAGCATGCTAGAGCTCGGTCTCCTGGGGTGGGGGTGAGCACGGGGTGCCGATGAGTCGGGAGGGTCTGCCCGGCTCTGCTCTCACACAGCCCCCTTCCTTCCGCAGCAGACCTGTGCAGTCTGTCTGGAGGACTTCAAGGGGAAGGACGAGCTAGGGCTGCTGCCGTGCCAACATGCCTTTCACCGCAAGTGAGCATCCACTGGGGGGATGTGGGCCCAGGGGTGCCTTTTGAAAGAAATAAGAGGGAGGAAGCTTCTAGAACCTCTAGGCCCTGCCCTTTGCCAGTGATGCCCTACATCCTGCCTGGAAACCAAGCAAGCCAGAGGGGTTAGATCAGAGTAAGGATAGAGAGGTTCTTGGTCAAAGAAGCTGTTGGGCTTTATGAATGAGACCCCTGGAGCAGGTTGGGGGGTCTTCTTGGAAAAAAAACAGGTCATCCTTTGCCCACAGGTGTCTTGTGAAGTGGCTGGAAGTGCGCTGTGTGTGCCCGATGTGTAACAAGCCCATCGCCGGGCCCTCAGAGGCCACCCAGAGCATTGGGATCCTGTTGGATGAGCTGGTGTGAGGGCTGCCTCCTCACCACGGCCTGGAGACCTCCTGTCATGAGTTCCTGGTCCCTCTGCACAGCCACAGGGAACAAGACCTTGGGGTGGTGACGCTCATGCCTCACCTGAAGGCCGAGGCAGTGCAGGGCTGGTTGCTCACCGTCAGGTGCCACCAGACTTGCCCCTCCTTTCTGCTTCCTGAAGCCTCCTTCCCTGCTCCTCAGAACTGATGGGGTGGCAGGACCCCCCCGAGGCCATTGTGTCCTCGTACTGGACTGTCTGCCTGCCTTGTCCTTGAACTGGGGAAAGCAATCCACCCCACTCTGGCCCAGAACTTGAAGCGTACCCTGAGCCTGCCCCTGAGGAGGACCTGCCGCCATGACCTAGAAGGGATGAGATGGGCTTCGCCCCCGGTGACCTCCCCCAGCCCGCCAACCCCTTCCAGAGGAAGGGCAGATGGGAGGGAACAGGCGGGAGCCCAGTGCCCCCAGTGGAAGCAGGAGGCTCTGCAGGCAATCCGGAAGAGCAGGGCCACGCAAAAGAAAGTCGATGTTTACACGGACCTGTGAAAACCCAGGCGGGCTGCCGCCGCTGACTGCAGGGTAACAGGGGCAGAGCCCTCCCCCTGCGAGGACTTGAGGTGCTATCCGTTCCTGTCTTGTTCTTCCTCAGCTAATCTCAGAGCCTCCTGCTCCATCGTGGGGTTGAGGTACCCCCTAAGGAAAGGCTGGGTCTACACACAGATAAATTCCCAGGGGCTTTTTCTAAAGGAGCAAAAGGGGCCTGGGGATGGGGTGTCTGACGGTTAAGGCAGCAACAGATACCCTCTTCCCCTTTGTAAATAGTATTTTTGTACTTCCCACCCCCTCAGGCTTTATACCTGGAATCCCCTGAATGGAGAAGATGGGGTTTTCCATTCCTCCCCCTAGTAGGTGAGGGTGGGAGAAAGGTATGTATTTAAGGAAAATTAAATTTAATAAGTTTCTCTAAACTTCTGCCTATTGTTGTGGCCTGTGTTGTTGGCCTTTTTTTTGCCAAGAGGGAACACAGTTCTCTCACCGCCTCTTCTCACATCCCCAAGCTCAAGTCACATGTGCACAAACTTCCTAATCCTTAAAAAGAAAAATTGATATCGCATTCTTTCCTTTATAGCATAGGTTAGGACTAACCTCTAAGTACTTTAAGACCTGATTAAGCCAGGCTCATTCATCTGATTTCTAGAATATTTTTAAGTTGATGGATGCCCATGCAGCATGTCATCAAATGCTGAAATTAATAAGACTTGAAATTAGTAGAATTCTACCTGTGACTCAAGCAGCTGTGTTCATAATACAGCTAAAGGTCCAGAGACTGCCACAGAGGCTTGATCATTCCCTTATGACACCTTTTTTTTACCTACTAGCTGACAATCATGGATACATCCTACCCCACCCACGCCACATCTGAAAGTATTGCTTCATTAACATTTCATGCACCTGTGGGCATTCTGCACCCATGCCTTTCAGCTTTGCTCTCTCAATGTCTCGGGCCATGGGGAGTGCTGAATCAATAATGGGTACGCAAAATGGCTTGAGAGGGCTGGGAGCAGTTTTCTTGGCCATGATAAGCATGGAGCAGCTGGGTTGTGGGTACCCCTGGCTCAGTGACACAGGGCAGTGCCAGTGGTCAGCCCAGGAAGCAAGGCCTGGCTGCTGGGCACAGTAGGAGTATTTGTTGAGGAACATATAGTGTAGTGGAGGGTCAGAAATGTGCATGAGATGCCCATGTACCCAGAGGAGCCAGTCTTGAAGTGCGATGCCATCCCTACCCTGCTGTTGTGCCCAGTCTGTTGGTGCTCATGCTGGACAGACCCGAGGTGCAGCTGGGCTCCCTGTGGGTCCTGGTGAAGTTGCTGGCACAACTTGGTGGAGTCCTTTGTCTGAGGAGGTGCCTATTCTTGGCTCTACCTTCTCTGCACCCTGGGGGGTAACTCCTCCTGAAAACCTCTCCCCCTGCTTGCTGCTGTCAACCCTACAAGGCCTTCTCTTCTCTTCACTGGGCACTTCTCTCCTCTGGCTCTGCCAGCTTGCTTTAGGGTGGGGAACAGAGTGCATTTCCTAAGCAAAGCAAGAGCCCCCCTCTGGCTCCTGCTGTGACCCATGGTGGGTGCTGTTACTGGGATAAGTTGGGGAAGGCAGGTGGTCTATAGATTGGTTTCAATCTTTGTGCTCCTACCTCGCCATCTTAGGGAAAATTCATCAGTGTTGGCTTATTCTGATTAAAATGTTGGCACTAAAACATTTGTGTTTGCAGAGTTGAATAACATTGTCAAAATGATGGTAAGGATTCCTTGTATTACTTCGAGCGCTTCAGCAGGGAGATGGTTCTCCAGCACACGGAAGGGAAAGTTGGTTTTTTTTTTCACTGATTGGCAGTAGCTGGCAACAAGTTAAATAGTCATGAGTCCCAAATTCATAGTCATTAGTGTGGTCTTGTTACTCAGTTCTCTGTCTCCAGAGCAGCTGTCACCCGGGCCAGGCACGGTGCCAGGTGCTGGAAGACGGGCCCGCCCTCACCCCGGGTTGTGGTACAAGCACTCTGTATTGTGGGTGAGCAAGCTCGTGTGGTAGGGAGACTGAGCTCCACTGGGGTAGAAGTGACAGCAGGGGTGCCTCTGGGCAGATGAAGCCTGGGCTGAGTCCTGGGAGTCACAGGGACAGAGGTCCCCAAGAACTAGCCAGCATGTTGGGTGGCAGGGTACAAACCATTCAGTGTGAAATCAAGGTGAGGAAAGGCTAGGGGTGAGGGGGTCCTTTGTGGGGCCAGGAACCTAGGACTTGAGAGAGAGAATCCTGATATTTTAGATCAGGCTTTTCAAAGATCTAGGTGTCATTTGGGAGCCAATGTTTTTCTTCTCTGTGCTTGAAATATTCACGGGCAGCTACAGTGTTCTCAGTACTATTCCCATTACTGAAGAAGAATTTGTACCCTAAGTATGTTTCAAAGGGTAAAAAACTGAAGGAAGCTGGGTAATAATCATTCTTACCAGGATTCCAACTTTGACAATCCATGGTGAGCAGACGCCATTCGATCAATCAAAAGATAATGAGCCTTTAACGTACCAAGTTCTTTCACAAAATGTATTTTTCTCTCCTTTCTGTCTGTACCTCTTTTGAGTTTAAGATAGGAAAAGAGTGTTGAGGAAAGTGAATAAATGGCTTACTCACAATTACACAGATAATAAGCATGAGAACCAAGGCACAGACCCAGACTGTACAGATCTAAGTTCGATGCAGGCTTCACCACAATAGTTTTGGAGGCAGGTTGCCCTCCATGAAGTGCCATTAGCTCCTGGGCCGATGCAGTCATGGAAGACCAACCCCAGATAATTTATGGTCAAATGATTGGTGTGCTTGCCTTTATCTAGGACCCTGGATTTTTTCTTTTAAGCTCTAGAGTGGATTACATCTTTTAAAGAAATCTTATATGGATCGGCCATTTACAAGACGTGTAATTGAAGTGGGGTGAAAGACATGGAGCAGAATTTGAAAATCACTGACTGATAAATTGGGGCAGTGGGTGCCTTGCAGCAGGATGGTGCCCACCTGTTGCCCCTTGTCCTCCATGGATTCTTCCATTCCAACTTTGCAACTTGGAGTCACCCATTCCCACCAGGGCCTCTTATGCCTCCCCAGTTTGCCATGTTTCCCCCCACCCCCACAAGTCTAACCCAACTCTGCCTTCGTTCTACCACCCTCTTCTGCCTCTCCAGGCATCAGAATAACTTCTTGGATGTCTTTGACCATGTCACTCACTCACTCAGGAGAATCTTCTGTTGAATCCATATGCACAGATTCAGAGCAACAGATGGATTCAAATTGGAGACAGGAAGGACAAATCGGTGTCTAGTCATGCAGGCTGTGTACAACAAATGCCATTCATGGAAAAATACCAATCTGTTTGCCATGCCTCAGACCTTCAATGGCACTGGATTCCTACTGGTCCTGTTTTTTTTTTCTTTAAATCATGCCCATTAATTCCTCCTTTGATAAACTGACATACTGAACAGGCAGAGAGGACATGACCAGTGTCACCTTCGTGTGTTGGCATGGCGCCTGGTTCTGTTCCTATGTGACAGTCTGTACAACAAACTAGGGCTCTGTAGTTAAAGGGGAAACAGTACTTGGAGCTCAAGAAAACATTTTCAATGGCTCCTGTGTGCTCTCTACATCTTTACCTGGGCTCTACCTCAGCACATTTTTCTTACCCATCTTCTCTCATTTCTTTTTCCTCCCTGTTCCTTTCTTTACCCATTTTTTCTTCATCCCAGCCTGCTCTCTCATCTTACTGAGAGTGTCCAAACCATGGGTAATAATCATTCTTACCAGGATTCCAACTTAAATGAACCACAGTGAGCAAACGCCATTCAATCAATCAAGAGCCCTCCTGTTGGGTGGTGATAGCCGTGCATGGTTCAAAAGATACACCAGTTCCTAAGTGTTTTTGCCCAAATGATAGAAGCCCCCCCAGGGACCAGCTCTGGGTTTCTAAATATTTAATGTTTATACATGTTCACTGAGTCTTGAAAAGGTGGCTGATATCCTCAAAGACAAGCATAGACTCCATGTGAGTTTGCTACATTAAAGACATGATTCAGTGTGAAAGAAGCAAATAAACTGAAACCTGAAGGGAGGAATAACCCAAAAGAAGATTGGGGTCATTTGGTGTGAGAGACATTGACCTGGAAGCATGGTGAATGTCATGTTGGGCATCAGTCAAAAAAAAGAAAAAAAATCCAAACACATCAAAAGTGCAGTAGCACAACTCCACCCAGCTGGGGAGTCATCCTCTCTGCTTTCTTCAGTATTGACCACATTTCTCTTGCATTATTTAATTCAGATTTTATGTCTGCATAAAAACAAATTTTAGAAAGTCCCATGAGGAAGAAAAGGAGTATTTTAAATCTGGATGGAGAAAGACCCAGGGGGCAGGCTACTGAGGGGCAGTCGCCAGTATATTGTATGCATAAATCTCCATCATGAACTCTCATTCCAGAAGTGGTGTTTTCTTCCCTTTAAATTGCCTTTGACCCTGAGCAAAGGCACCTTTTTTGCACCTGCAGTGTTTGCCTTCCTCCCCAGGTTATTCATGATTCTCAGTCACACAGATCCACCCTCTACCCGCATCCTGTACACACTACTTAAGCACTGAGTTGTCTGTTCTCTGGGCCCTGAAGATACCGTGTCTGCCATTAGTGCCCAGTATGGAGTATGGGAAGGTTGCCAAGGTGTTTAGGGTCTGGCGTGCCCAGGTCTCCCACTACCTTGGCCTCCACTGAGTGCTGCGACCTGAGAGCTCAGTGCAGGCCCCCACTCGCCTTGGGACCTGCCACCTTTATCCTATTCAGGTGCAAGAGTAGTGGAAGGAACCACTTGCCTTCTCCAGGGAGTATTTTACTATATTGTTTTATCCCATATCTATCCATCTACCCAGAATCAATGTATTTTTCAATGTACTTGAAAGCAAGCTTCAGATACCAGAGCACTTGTTTTAAATTTTACAGTTCAACTTCTCTTTTTGCAAGTGTGATATAATGAGTCATAAGAAATACATAATTGGTCATTGATGTGACTGAACACATATTTCCCAGGTATATTTGGTCTTCATCCACAGTTCCTGAAAACACTGCAGTCTTAAAGATGGAATGGCATTTTGTCATGTTAATGAGAGACTTTTGCACCCCCCACCCAAAGGCAGGGGCTGGAGGCTGAATCAGCCATTGGTCAGTAATTTAGTCAATCATGACTATGCAATGAAGCCCTCACAAAACTCCTCGAGAAGAGCTTATGGCTCTGCTCTGCTCGGTTGGATCCTGTTTCTCAATCGGATGGAGCTTCTATGCTTGGGGAACCAGAACGCCTTCATGTGCCGTCAAGCCAGGACCCAAGCTCCACAAGGATAGAAGCGCCCTTATTTGGGACCTTTCCCTATGTACCTCTTCATCTGGCTGTT